TCCTTCCTTCCTTCCTTCCTTCCTTCCTTCCTTTCCTGTCCATGTTTTGGATCAGCCTCTCCCATATACCTGTACAAATATAGGTGTCAACCCCCCCTCTGGGTGCCATAGCAACAAAGTAGAGTCTTAGAAAGTGTGAAACACCAGTAGCTGCTCTCTGACTTTATGGTGTGTCCAAGTTATCATAATCATATGTTGAGAGCAGTTTTTGTGAGTTGTTTGTATCTGTATCTGAGATTGGAGCAGATATTTGGCCATCTTATTGTTATTCCCACACATTGGCCACATCACAGAAGCAGCAAAGGAGCCAGAGCCCCTCCCCCCTCCCCTACAGGGAGTGTTCCTCTTTCTGCACTAAGAAGCTCTGCATTATTAATGCCATAGTATGAGCAATATGATATGTGCTTAAGGGTTTGATTCACGCTTTGCTTTGTACTTGACATTTCCAAGCGCGCGTGCATGTGTTTGTGTGCAACTTCATTTAAATGTAAATAAATTAATACTATTTCAGCTTGCATGTGTGCGTGTGCGTGTGTGTGTGTGTGTGTGTGTGTGTGTGTGTGTGTGTGTTTGCACATGCTCGGTACATAAGACAGCTTGTGTGTTGTGCCTTTCAGTGTGCGATGTCCATGGATGCTTTGTGAGTCTTTATGTGGGTGTATCTTTTTCTGCCAAAGGGGGTGGGAGGCTGAGCAGGCGGCTCGGATTCTAAAAATAGAAAGCTCTCCAGCTCCCTGCCTCGTTGGACTGAGAGAGTGACACAGAAAGGAAGAAACTGAGGGAGAAGCAGAGAGTGGCTGTGCCTGGAAGCTACAGAACCAACAGGACCAGAGACAGAGATTCATCCGTAGTGTCTCTTTACTCATGGAGGTGGAGCTCCGCTGAAGGCAAACTCCCTGGAGGGACTGTATGGCAGATGTTCCTGAACCTATCTGCTTGTTAGCTTTGAGGGGAAAAAAAAGAAAAGCGTGACGGTATTACCTGATCAGGTGTTTTAATCAGAAATATTGCCGCAGACGTCACCTATGGCAGATGGATCAGATTTCACCTTCATTAGCGGAAGAAAAAAGAGAATTATTCCAGCTTTGAGCTCTGCTTCTGCTGTTTGCTGTTTGCCACATCATGGTGTGTCTTCAGAAGACTTTGCAGAACAAAGCTGGCGCTACAGCATCTATCATTCATCTTTGACAGACATGAAAATAGAGAAACTTTTAAGAACAATTTCTACAGTCTTTCATATGTGTGGCTGCATACAGAGCAAAGCACTAATGCACCTCCCTTTACCTGTTCACACATTCATTAGATGTATGAATGAATGTGTGCTAATGTAAACCCATTGATTTTTTTCTTCTATATTGTCATTAAAGTCACATTATTTCTGTGTTTTTATAGGAATTTATATAATGGATAGACAATATTATCAAGAATCTAAACTCATCAAATTAAATAATAATAATAATAATAATAATAAGGACCTAAAAGAATACGACTGAAGTAAAATAACTATGCAGTACAGTTCAGATCCAATTTGTGTTATGAGGAACTGAGAATGAGAATGAAATGCTGTGTTAATCAGTCGTCACAGCGACGGGTTGAACGGAGTCAGGGACTACCAAGATGGCGTCAAAAAGCGAGCATGGCTTCCCAAGATTACGGTTGGACAGAAGGCCTGGTGTTATCTGGATTTAGGGGCTCAGTTGAAACATCGGAGCCAGTGCTGGCTACCATGTTAGCATTAGCAGCCAGAGAAAATCAACTATGATCCTGCACCTCTCTAAAGACAATGATGGCATAATATTTATGGAGGTTAGTGAGATGAGGAAGAAACACACAGATAAAGCAGAACGAGCTCATGTTCCCATACTACAAATTCTCCAAAGACTTGTAAACAAGGCTTGTTGCAGTCTTGATAACATCCTTGGCTCTGACTTGCTCTACAGCCTGCTCCACCCCCAAAACAACATAGAGCACAATGAAATAAGTATTTAAATTTTTTTATCCAAAAATAATCATCTCTGCCCAGACACAACCTCTTACTTGGACTGTTCAGATTAACAGTGAAGCCTGCGGGGTTCTAGAATATCTGACAGAGCCAGAAAACTATTTTTATTTGAAAAAAATCCCTGAAAACATCGACATTTTTACTTGAGGAAAAACTTGAGTTTACTAAATTATCAAACTCTTAAATTACTGGATACTTTACCCACTGTAAGTAACTTATCTGAAAAATACCTGAGATAGATAGATAGATAGATAGATAGATAGATAGATAGATAGATAGATAGATAGATAGATAGATAGATACTTTTTTTTACTTAAAATACTTACAATGTTTAAGGCAACCAGTTACCTTGAATTAAAATTTATTCAGGTTTACAACATGGAGAAGTTGCTGAGATCTACAAAATTCCAAATCTCACTTTTGGCTTGCAGTTTTGAAACAAAATGCATCATTATGCTGCAATTAATCTTATTTCTATTATTTGTATCAGATCACAATGAGCAAATCCTCAAAGCAATGAAAGGCTGACAGCTAATAAAACAGACTATTTTAATTATTTTAGCAAATTAAAACAATTCAAACTGAAAATGTTAATATTTACAGCATCCTGTTAATGCATACTAAATTAGGTCTTCAACGGTCTGGCTGATCAGCTGCGACTCATCGGTCCACTCCAAACCTGCCAAGAGCTTTATGTCTACAACATACTTTGGCATTTTTTTAGGAAAAGTTTTCTTCAAATCAATGTTTCCATAAAGATGAAAACAAGGAGCAGATCCCTGTCCTCCAAAGTTACGATGGTCCTCTTGGCTCCAACGCTGTCCCTGCCTGACATAACGGTTTAGGTGGACGTCCATGTCCATAACGTAGAAGTATCGCCACAGGACACAATTAAAAAGCTCCGGAGTTTTTAGGTAAAATCAACATGACTCTGAAGTTCTCATGCGACCAGAACAACAAGGCATAATTGTTACAAGCTCAAAGCAGAAAACTTAAGGAATCAAGTTGTTGACCACACAGACTATTACAAAGCAGTAAAAAGAAGGCAGTAAAAGCTGGAAGGCTGGGTATGTGTTAGGTCTGTTCAGAAACTCAGTCAGAGAGCTGAACGGTGCTGCTTGTGTTCTCATTAAATCTAGAGGCTTTAATCATAACTGGAAGATACTTAATGACTGGGGCTGTGGCCCAAAGTTTATATTTGATTTGATCAAATCAAGAGAAGAGAAAAGACTTTTGTTTCTCAGTCATACCCCTTAGTCCGATCAGGTGATTACGGTCACATGTACAGCACAAGCAGCACTTCCTGGATGTTACTCAGTGTTGCTGTTGGCCTCTTGGCAGCCTGACTGTTTGGTTGTGTTTGTTCTTCTACTCTGTGAAAACCTCCACTTCCCTGAGCCCCCATACGTTCTCAGAAGATGGCCGTCTTCATTGTACTGTTGCATGTATTTTATGCTGGAGATGTTTCTGTATCCTGCTCCTGACTGGTACATTACAGTGACTGGATGATTTGGAGTCACTGCCACCACTTTGCAGTCTCTGGCTCATTTAGCTGAAGTCACCGTTTGCAAAAAGCAGTCACAGTGGCTTCAGCTGAATGATGCAAATCTCAGAAATAGATTGACCTTTATTTGAGGTTCGCCACATTCCCTGTAATTTATAATAGATATGTTCCTTATAAGAGTCAGTTATGAAATGAAATCAAAGTGTTACTTTAAAATTGTGCAAAAACACTATTGTTGCTTTTTTTATTTTCCAATTTCTTCTCCTACAGATTTCTGTGTTTTGCTGTTGAATTATATCGTCAAATGTTTTATGATACAAGCCATTGCAAAAACGTGGTCTTTTAGCAGACCACCACAAACAGAAGACATGGGTATAAAGTTGTCTGTTGAAACAGAAAGACAGGGTAAAATGCAAAGAATATAACAGAACTAATGCATAAAAAAAGTTATTTGAGGAAAATTTTAAAAATTAAGGCAGAATAAATACAAACCTATTATTATGTGTTTTCCAGTTACATGGTATCATTTCATAACACTATGAAATTACTAAATTACCTTGATTTGTTATGAAAATTCTATATATGTGTGTGTATGGATTATCATAAATTTGACTTTGTAATTTAAAGCCTTGAAATTGGGCCTCTGTCTCTTTAAGAAACTCCTGCTCTTTCTGAAACTCCACCTTTAAGAAGTCATCACATCATGGCTCCTCTATTAACCCTGTATCAATGTTTTTTACCAGCATTTCAATGAGAAGTAGCTCAGCAGATGCTCAGTTCCACCAGGTGTTTGCTAATTGCTGCTGGCTAGTCTGAAGGAGCTGAGTGGGAGAGGGTTGCTCTCTGTGTCAGAAGCTCAGAAGCTTGAAAATGCAGCTTGGAGGAGGAGCTTTGTCATTGAAAGGCGGGGCTAGGTCCACCCAGGGATTTTGCTCAGCTGAATAGTTGTCATGGAGATTTAAGGATTTCTCAAACATGCATGAAGGAATCAAGGAAACATTCCAGGTGTGTTTTTGATGAGAGAAGAATCAAGCTAATAAAAAAAGCTATAATATACGAAATACTGCCCCTTTAAACACACGAGTGAAAAGGAGGAAAATTAATCAAAGAAATAAATGCGATTCAAATTAAAAAAATAATGTAATAAATTTAACTAAATCTGAGGTAAAAATACTGTTAGAAAGAAAAACAGGCTTGTGCCAGATGGAACAAAAATAAAAACAAACTTAATTTTGGTGTGTTTTTCTATTCCCCCATTTGTTGAGAACATTTTTGAAGCCATTTATTTATTTATTCTGTTTTTTTTTTGTTTGTTTTGTTTTTTTCGTGATTATGACCTCCGTAGTAAAAGTCAATGTAATTCTGCAATGTAACAGCTTGAGAGGCTCACTGAGACATTAATCCAGGTAAATCCACCATTTGAACAGAATTCTCTCCCCAGCAGAAGATGCTGCTGCTGCTGAGGTTGCATAAGAAGCAGCGGATCTGCACAGCGCCTCTACCGTCGCCCTCCCCTCCTCTATCTGTTTAAATGAGACAGCGCTGCTCGGCTGTGCGCTCTGAGTGTGTTTCACAGAACGGGCCGCTCTGTTATGGAGGACTAACCGACTGAAAACGCCGCACAGCGCCTCTCCTGCCGCGCACCGAGGGCTCCCTCCAGGCCGGGAGGCTGTGGATTCACGCCCGCTCCCCGCACTTTGTGGACCGTCGTGCTTCTTATGGGATCGGAAGGCGCATCTCTGGCTCTCTCTGACAGGACGCGGGACTGCCTCCCTTAGAATCATTTCCCTCGGCCTTTTTCTGCGTCGCAGCATTTTGGGAGAAAACGTGATTAAACGGCCGGAAGCAGCGAGCCGATCATGGATTAATGCCCGAGTGAATTCTCATCTGAAAGGTATATTCTCACAGGGATGCTAGGAACCGAAAGGCCGTATAGGAGGATGTGTCCGATGCGAAACGTGTATACGAGTGTGGGTGTGTGTATGTGTGTGCGTGTGTGTTTGTGATGGATGGTGGTGGGTGATGGCAGCAGCATCCACACTGCAGCTCCTGTGCCCTGGCGGAGCGGAGGAGACTGCAGAGGAACGGGGCTGCTTCCAGCGGGGAAAGGGACTGGGTGTTTCGCCTCTTTGTGTACGCGGCCAGGGCCTCTGGGTGACTGACTGACTGACTGACTGCTGATCAGCCGCATCGAGCTGCGTATTATTAACAAACACAATGACGTCAGCGTCTGCCAGTGACGCGATCCTTTCCTCGACCACCTTCTAATTTATCCATATTTTTATTCCACTGAGTGATTTTCAGTGTCGATGCTCTGCAGCTCTCTCTGCTCTTGCTCAGGGCCGGACCTGCTTCCGCTCTTCTGGTCGCCTTGGAAGTTCTCGGGGTTTCTGTAGAGTTTTAAAGGCACTGAAACTGATTAGCATCACAAAACAAGCAGACAGCATGAGCGTGTAGTGACAGGCGGGGGTTCAGTTGTTCCTCAACACTGAGATATTTTTCACAGGAGCTCTTGATGGTCAGAAGTTTACTCTCTCTTCATTGGTGTGAAGCTTCTTGATATTTTGAGGGTTCCCTCTTACAGTCGTAATTAGGGAGAATATTTTGATTTCCAAAAAGAGAACACCTGAACCACTTCAATCATACTTGGTCTACACTGTAAGACTTATTATCATAATGTATTTAAAGCGTCCCTTCTCTATGTGGCTAGATTAAATAATAAATTTCAGATCGACTTTCAAAAATCATGCCTGTAAACTCATGGCACTGTGGACTGTGTCCCAACAGTTTGCAGGTCAGGTTGAGCTTGAGCCTTGTTGGTTCCTGGGTTCTTCATGAACATCCTAACAGATTTCTTTTCATCTGTAGGTGAGAATCCTCCTGGCCTTTTCCAAGTCTGACACCATTACCGGTTGTTATGCAGAATATTTATCTTGGAACTTACAGCTGTCCAGAAGAGTCTCCAAAAGACTTTCTCGACTTTTCTTGTAGTCCTTTTAAAGTTCCTCTGACTTTCATTCTCAGTACTGGTTACTAACCCAGTACTTATCCCTGGGAAACCAAAAGGAACCACCAACTTAGCGCTCCAAGTACTGTTCTAAGTCCTGGCTAGTACTTAGAACAAGTACACCCAGTACTTCTGACTAGTGCTGGGAGACTTTCTGCATGGAGTTAGCATGTTCTCCCAGTGCAGGTGTGGATTCTCTCCAGGTACTCTAACTTCCTCGTGCTGCCCAAAAACATGACAGTTAGGCTAATTGGTCTCCAAATTTTCCTTGAGTGTGTGCAGAGTTCCTTGTCCTGTGTGTCTGTTGTCCTGCTGTGAGAGGCCCAAGAGTAAAAGAAATGTAGAATAATGTAATTATAGCTCAAAAGTAAACATTGCGATTAGATGGAATTTTCTTGTTTTTGAATTCTCCTCTTTATTGAATAACTTTGGAAGTCTTAAATGATGTGAATGTGTCATTTAGCTGCACTTTTAATTGTGCAGATGGCCTTTTAGTATGCTAATATCTAATAAGAAATATCTTTTTTTTTTAAAGGGCAGAATAATGTGTTTACCAGCCACATTGAATCATTTTGTAGCACAATCAAGTTACCTTGAGTTGTTATAAAATGCTGGATATATCAAATAAGATTTGAAAAAAAAAAAATTGACTTTATTTATTGCCTTTAAAATGGGCATTTGTTGGTCCTGTGGTGGTGCAGGGGCAAAGCACGACCCACGTGTGGAGGCCTTAGTTCTCCATGTGGACGTCACAGGTTCCAGTCCTGGTCTGGTGACCTTTGCCACCTGTCTTCCTCATCTCACATTATACTTTCCTGTCTAACCACTGTCAAGTAAAGGCAGCAAGAGCCAATAAGACCTTTAAAAAAATTGGCCGAATCTCTTTAAAAACTCCTACTCTTTCTAAAACTCCATCTTCTGGAAGTTATCACAAGATCAATCTATTAGCCCTTTAATGCTGGTTTTTACCAGCATTTCACTGAGAGGTAGCTGCTACAGTTCCACCAGGTGTTTGCTAATTGCTTCTGGCTAGTCTGAAGTAGCCGAGTGTGGGAATATTGTGGCAGGGTGGCTCTGTGAGGTGGAAACTCAGCAGCTTGGAAACTCCAGCTTCCTCCTTCATCGTTGAAGGCAGCACTAGATTCCATCAGGTGTTTTGCACAACTGAATGGTTGCATGGGAGATTAAAAGATTTCTAAAACATGCACGTAAGAATCAAGGCAATTTTGACGAGGGAATGATATTATAGCATAAAGTAAAGCTCAAAAACGTCAATTTAAAATACTGCCCCTTTAAGGATCCTCACATATTTCCAAACAAAGAACTTCCAAGTTAGGGAATAGTTGAGGAGAATCGACTTCCTTTGACAGATGACTGAGTGGTGAGTCAACAGTAAATGACTTTACTAGTACTTAGCTACTCTTTACTATACAAGGCCACTTTTTCTGAAATCTAGTTTAAGCAAATTAAAACTACAATGATTATGTAAAACATTGATTGAGGGTGTAAAACAAGAATTTTTTTTAAAATACTCAGGCAGTGTTTTTCTGAGGCCGCTAGAGGAGCCTCAGAAAACATGAAGGAAGATAAGATAAAAAAGCACAAATAAAAAAAAGAAATATATTTATCAAAAAATGAAAGTAATAATTATAATAAACTTTTGGACTAGCTTCAATTACTCATCTTTGCCAGGAATCAATCGATGTGCTTTGGACATCTGATCGGGATGACTAGTGGTTCTCCTTGATTTCCCAGTGATGTCCACTGGGAGAAAACCCTGGAAGCTAAAGAACGGGCTACGTAACCCTCCTGGTTTTGAGAACCTGATGGAATCCAACAGACTGTGATAGAGAGAGGGTCACTGGCTTTGGGGATCAGAATGGCTGGGTTTCCCTTTAAGACCTGGTACATCAGATCTCAAATAATCTCTGTTATGTACTTGGACATTTTGAAAGGCTTCAAACAGTTTCCCCTCTTATAAAGTGCTTGCTTTCCTGACTTGAATCTGACTTGCAAGCAAAGTCCACAACTCTTCTAAAGTGCTGAGGTCAAGAAGCTCATTGTTAGCCTTTGTCCTTCATCACTACACCTTCACATGCTGATGTCATAACCCAATGTTTGAGTTGGTTGAAGGTAGTTGAAGATAGTTGATGGAAATTGTTCTTTTGATTAGTCCAGCCACTTTGTGCAATGAATCTATACCATTAGCAGCAAATGTGTTTTGGGCCTTCCTGGAGGTCACATTTGACAAAAATTTAGAATTTAGCAAACAAATTGCATGTAGTTCGGTCTGCCTTCTAACTGAGGTGAAGCCTTTTTTAATCTGTTGTAATCTGGCCTGGAGGAGGTTGTTCATGGTTTTTTTCAGTTCCAGAATGAACTGGTGCAGTGCTCGCTAGGTTTGGGTCCCCAGTCATCCCTGAGTCGCCTCCTTGTTGAGAACGCAACAGCTTTCCTTTTGACTGATTCTGCCAGACAGGAACATTACACTGAGTTTTTGTCTTCACTACACTACATCAGCTTCCTTTAAAATACATTTTGAAGTTTTTGTATTTGTATTCAAAGCCCTGCTCCCACTTACCTAACCACTTGAGTGTGTTTCTCTACCAGGTCCTCGACGTCAAATATTTTATATTTACTTATAATTCCATGGACAGAGTACAAACATGGGGGACTGAGATTTTTTGTTGGACTCACCTCGGTTCTAGAGTCAGCTTCCACTAGATCTTCAATTTATAACAGAACTTGGCCTTTTAAAATTAAAAATCAAATATTTTTTTCATTCAGAAACGCTTCTAAAAATCTGAAAATGTGGTGGTACTTCTGGTTTTACCCTATTTTTAATCTGCTTTTTTATGTTTCCCTTTACACATTTATTTTGTTAGCCACTTTGGTTACAGATATTGTGTATGTGTAACTGATTGATCAACTGATTAATTCCTTCGAGAACCCTTCCAGTAATGACAGCCAAAAAGCTGAGTCTTTGTCTCATCTCACCATGAAACTTTTCTCCAGAAAGTATGTGGCATGTCCATGTGGTTGACTCCAGATTTCAGTCGAACTTTAAGGTGATGGTTTTGGAAAACTAGATTTTTGGAAAACTAGATTTTCATGTCTTCCCAATTGTATTGTCATAAACTTCAACAATTACCAATCTGAGGAATGCAGTGTCTGTGATGGAGTTCCTGTTTTGTTTCCCTTTGTTATTACTGACTTCAAGATGAACTTGTGGGACATTTGGTCATGGAAAAACCAATATCTGTCTTACGTGTTTTCCATTTGCCCATATTGTCTTCTTTATGCAAAATAGAAATGACCTTATTACCATTTTCTGAGTGATGAACATGTCATTGTTAGGATGTTTCTTCTTTGACATTGAAAGTTTAATGGAGCAAAGTGGTAAACTGCTTTTATTGCTGTGCTCTCACGGCCTTCATGAGTTTAAAGAGTCCCATTCAGGTCAAAAACTACAGATTATATACACAAAATTTTACAAATAAAAAATTGTGCCGGTCAAGTAAGAAAAAAAAAAAAAAACTATTTACCTTTATGCTAATGCTATAGCTAGCAATAACTCATCACCCTGAACACACTATTCGAATGGTGAAATATGGTGGTGGGAAAATCATGCTGTGACAGGGAATATGAAAACTTTTGCATTGTGGATTGGTTGAAATTACAGTTAAAAAAAAAAAAAAACATCCAGAAGGTCAATCTATTCAGTGTCTCTATTTAGGAAAAAAATCAGTCGATGTCTGCCTCTGTGGTCATAAACGTCTGCAGGGTTGCTTGTTGCTTGCCGTAGCTCCGCCCACACACAGAGGGCAGAGCAACAGCAACCAGAGTTGTCAGAGTTGAACGCATGAGAGAAGGCCTGTCACAATAAC